GTATGTATGTATGTATGTATCATATATATATATATACATATAAATTATATATACATATATATATATACACAAATAAATATGAATACATGCATATATTGTATATATAGCTAGACTAATATAGGCTTGTTTTCCAATTTAAACCAGCGAACCCCGAAACTGCAAAAGCACTTATAAGTCTCGACACCCAATCCCGTACACAGCCCGCTAACACTCAGGCCTGATGTAGTGTGCTGACTTAGATCGAAGGAAAGCACCTATCTACCCAGACTATGCAGCTAGATCGGTTGAGTTCTTGCAAAAGAACCAGAGTGCTCTTCTTCAAGTATATGTAGGGCTCTAGAACGGTCGGCCCTGAACAGCCCCAGCCCAGGCACTACCCGCCGCAATTCGGACTTCGACTAGTGCGACTACGCAAGCGCTTCTGCTCCGAAGCAATCACTCATTGCTTGGACGACACAATCCCTGCTCCCCGGTCTGAGACTTTGACGGAGTGGTTCAGTACCATTCCATGGCAGGATCTGTGGGAAGATGCCGATATGGGTTCGGTGCTGGCATACCTGAGGGGCAACAATGGGCTAATTTTGTCGGAGGATTGGAGGTCAGTCTTCAACGACTACAATTAAAGATTTACCGTCGTTTCTGTTTCTTGCAAGCACTTCGGACTGTACTTCTTGGGTTGTGTTTAGGACAGCGGTTGTGGTTCTTTCGGGATAGCTAATAGCTCGTTAATTACTATTATAATGGCCCTGGCTGGGGTTGCTCGAGTATACTCACTCTTGACTTCGATGGCTGCTTTGTGCAGCCACAACGGACCCAGCAAACTCAACCCAAGCAAATCCCGTTAATAATTTACATATTAGATATGATTGTTCCTGGAAAGTGAGTAGGTGTATTGGTGCCAACAACATAGAGAAGCCTCCGAAGTGCTTGCTTGTGCACACGACCATTAACATAAATTCATGTCCGGCTGGAAGTTGCTGGTGCGCCCCGGTAGAGCACAGTCGGCTAGCTTGAGACAGTTCCGGATCCTTTGAGGATTGCTGGGCTTCGAAAGGAACCGCAGTTTGGGGATCATGGCGCGTCAAGACTGAGGGTTCTTGTGGCCTGTGCAAGGCCGCGACAGGGACAGACCGCAAGGTAGAGAGAGAGAGAGAGAGATAGAGGGGGAGAGAGAGAGCGAGAGTGAAAGAGAGCGAGACAGAGAGACAGACAGCGGGAGGTGCACTAGCTGGGCTTATAAGCAATCCAAGGCGGGTTCTGGGGTCGCTTGTTTCAGTACCATTTTAAAGTAGTATTAGCGGGGATGTTTCAAGGTGGGAGGCAGGTCTACCGGTTTGGGGGGGGTCCTCGCTTCAGTACTATTTAGTATTGGGGGAGCTGTTTTCGATGGTTTTGGGATCACGCACCATTACGCAAGCTGTGTTTTGGTAGAACCCAGACCCAACAGCCCCTAGAACCCGTGATTACGTAATCTTTACGTGTTCTTTGCGTGATTTTTACGTATCCCGGCAGGCCCCAAACCCGTACCCGTTAGAAGGGCGTGTTTTACCCGTAAAGGGGCGTGAAAAGCCGTTAGGAATTACGTTAAAATTGCGTGAAACACCCAGTTTAAACGGGGGCTGTTTTTTTTCGCTATCATGACAGAAAGGAGTCGGTTTTGAGGCCAGGGCAAGGGTTGGTCTGTAGGTACTTTGGCAGTATGGAGCTGGGTGGTCTGTATAGAGCCACAACTACACAAAATCCTGTATTATGGGTTTGAGATCTTATGGTTTCTTTCTCTGAATCTCAAAGATCTGAGAGGCAAGCATGATTGCCCAGAGCATCTGGTTCCAGGGCCTGTGACCAAAGGTACAAGATAGGTGTGCACCTATCGCAATGGCTAAAAAGAGTTGCCCTTCGCGTCAGTGGAGCTGCTCAGAGCTGACTGGTGCTGCAAGCAAAATGCTAGGGCCAGTCAAGAAAGAGCATGATCTTCCAACAGATGAAGATGAACTAGAGAAGGACCTAGAGCTCCGTACGCCGAATGCCTAGCCCAGTACGTATATGTACACACTGTGGGTAAGTCCGTCTGCAGGAGCTACGAGAAGCCCAAGCTCGCCTGGACAAGTTGAAGGAGCTGAAACGCACGACATCCTCGTCTTCGTTGGCCTCGACAGTGGCTTGCTTTCTCAATATATGTTTTTCTGTCTATAGATAGACATACATGTATATATATCTATATATATGCCGGCACTAAATAACTACATACAAATACATACATACACACATATACATAAAGAAATATATACATGTTTGTGCATACACATGGGCACGGGCTCCGGGTCGCTGAATCGAACAATTTTTGCGCGGTATGATGGAATATATGTAGGTATATATTTAGATTTTCTAGATGTGGTGGCACAAACTTATTCTTGCAAAGGCATATCTACATGCCAATATCATAACAACAGAGCATATGTGCATGTATATATGCACACACGCATATGTATCCCTCCAGATGCACACACATATATACATTAAACAGATAGATAGATAGATAGATAGGTCGATAGTATATTATTCATATGTATATATGTACATATATATATATATGTACATATATCCATCTAAACACCCGCGACCTGGCCACCTATCTAGCCAGTGGGCTATCCGTCCATTTATCTACTATCTAAATATCTTGATATCTGTAGATGGGTCGCCATGTACCCATATATACATACATAGAGGTACTCATGTTTTTAGCCCAAGAGCTATTATTTCTAGGTGTATATACAGCTAGAAAGACGTAAGCATGTGCACCACATTTTACAATACAGTACATGCATGCATTACTTACAATATAGCCATATTCATACACATATAAATATATACATATAGAGATGTATATACACACCCTGACACATGAAGCAACATCTATATATCTATCGGTGTCTATATATTCTGTATCTATATACACATATACCTTCATATATATACATATATGTGTGTGTTACATCTATATCTAGACATGTACTTATCCAGGTATATCTAGCTGTACACCGTACGTTGCTCTATATGGCAAAATCTACATATGTATGTCTTTATAACTACATATGTAGTTATCCAAGTATCTCTAGCTGTGTGCCGGTTGCTCTATATATCTATAATATATGCACGTTTGCAGGTCGATCTCCGCTTACACATGTATATATATATATATACACATGTACATGGTGCATGCATGCATGTAAGTATGGTATGCATGTATATATATATATATAATGTGTGTGTATGTATGTATGTATGTATGTCTGTTTGTATGTATGTGTGCACATGTGTATGTATGTATGCATGTATGTACGTATATGCATATTATTAAGCTACTGGATTATGTGTACATACATGTATATATATATATATGTGTATATCTTTCAAGCATATATATATATATATATGTGTGTGTGTACACATATCTATATATAGATTATTTAACACATATATATATATATGTTCATATAACCAATATATGAGAGAGAGTGCGGGAGAGAGCGAACGAAAGACCCCGTTCGGAAGTCTTCTTAGAGTGGAAATCATC